ATATATATATATAGTGGTATTGTCCAAGGTGAGCAGACATATTCAGGGCGTCCAGTTTGTCTTGTCTTCTGTTTAAATGACTAAAGTGCTGTTTTGGCACCGGACCAGTTCTTCCAGTATAAACACGACCTTCAGATTTAACAACATCAGCTGCAGGACTCACCTAAACACTGCTGTTGTTCTAAAAATAAGGGCCAAGGGCGAATGTGTATCTCAACCCTTTGACACATTATTTCATTTCTAGGACCAAATTGCATCTGATGTAACTAAATTTGACAAAACACAAGTTCTAGTATTGACTGTTTGATGCTTTGTAATACTGTTATGTAACGACTATTTTAAAGTAATCAATTTATAAGCCATTAATAGAACCACATCAGTTCTTCTGACCATAACCAGGTAGTAGTAAACGGTACCTAACTGTGAAACTACAGGTGAACTCGTTATCTCATAAATTACTTAATGATCCAGAAAGATCAGACACACACTCAGAGTATAACATAGTATGAAATATTTCTTTGCATAAACCATAGACTTGTGTAAATTAAATTAATGCCCTTGGGCATTTCAGTTTGTCACTAATTGCAAACAGGTTTTTCCCCTGTGTTTTCTTAGGATTTATTCAGCAAAAATACCCAGCTAACTCTGGACCTAAAAAGTTAAAAGTAACATAAATGGGTAGTAGGTGGCAGTAACACACGCAGAGTTGTTTTTAAATGCCAAAGAAGTACAGTAAGAAGGGCTGTTTACAGAGTTAGCTTAGCACAGCTTATCAATGATGGAGACTCACTTGTTTTACATAACAAATAATTAAAAAAAGACTTTCAGTGTTGCCATTGTGGAACGCAAATTTGATACAATACAATTTAAGAAACCAATGTTGAGTTTTTACCTTGGTGGTTAACAGATAAACTGTGGTTAGCAGTGAGAGCTACAGACAATGAAGCTAATTTTAGCTTTATATGTACTACAGGTGCTAGCAAGACACCAAGACTAAGAGAGAGAGAAAAAAAAATCAATTGACAGTTACTAACAAAATAAATGGATTTTTTTGTCAAAATTAAAGTGAACTTTTTTTTCTACTGCAGACACCGCAGTTAAAAGGTTGTCTTTGAGCGGACACCACGCTCCGGTCAAGATTATCCCGCAGAGGCACCGTGACGCTGTCATAGCTGTGGGACAACAAGAAGTGATTTTGTATGATTTTCAAAAGGTAAGAAAACACAAACTGCACTGAAAAGATTATAAAACTAGAACTTATTTTCTTTTTCTGTTTATCATGCATTAACATCCAACTAAGCATACATGAACAGCTAATTTTTACTACTAGCTTCTGCCTTGGAGAAAATATAGACACCTGAAGTGCTGCGATACAAACCTGGAAATTTCTTTTTTTTTTTTTCTTTTATCAATACCAATGAACTTTTCATCAGTGTATGTTAGAGTGATCATCATCGGGAGTGCTGTTTTTATTGTTTTGTTCTCAATGTTTTTAGTTTCACCCGTGTAAATAATATAGGAATAATGCACTTGTTGTTCATTGGTTATTTAGCATTTAGCATCACAGTCTGAGGGCCAGGGGAAAGAAACTGGTTCTGAATCTGGCAGTTCTGCAGCGAATGCATTGTGTGTGTGCATCATGGGAACAATGCGATCTTTCCTTTCTCTATCAACGTCTGTCTTCCAGACTCCTGTGGAACAAACTGTGTTGTGGCACTGTGGTAACACCTCCGCTGCAGAAAGGGTGGGCGTCACAGAGAAGTCATTGATCACACAGAACTTTTAGCTGTTTGGACGAAGCTTAAAACATTCATTCTTGTCATTCAGAGTCAGGACTGCAGAATCACAGTGTTCCAGGAGATGAACGAGACAGACCTGGTGTTTGTGTGTGTGGCCGCTGACGCGGCGACACGGTGCTGTCAAATGGTAGGACACACTGTGGTATCTTTATCAAACACAAAAACCGGTCGGGCTGCTTTAAGATCCATGTTTGAGACTGATTTATACTGAAAACAAAACACTCTGTGTGTTTCTGTGTTTCAGAATGTATCCTCAGCCTCTCCCTCGTGCACTTCTCCTTCCAAAGTTAAGAAAATAGTCGACAGCATGAAATCATCTGTTACAGCGAAAGTTGAACCGTCGATACTTGTTGGTGAGTCTTCAGGCCAATGTTTTTACAATCATCTCATTCACTGTAATATTTAATATTGACTTTTCTCTTAATCCTTAAGACAATATTGTTCTCCACTTATTAAAGCGCTACCTCGGTTGAACTTCTGTAATTCCGCTCTACAGTTCCTTTTTTAATTGTGGTTGGTTTAAAAATAATAATAATTTGCATTGCTGCGGCCCCTTACATGCCCCCCCACCCCCCACCCACCCACCTTTTGGGAACCACTGGAATGTAATTGTTTTTGTATTTTGAGAATCACAGTTTGTCCGATATAGTCAAGTTGAACACCTTCAAGCAGTCGCTGTTGTATCTTGTAAACTCATCTTTTTCTTTTTTGAAGAATCTGGAGATTCTTCAAGCCTCTATGTGACACGCTCTGGTCAGGAAAATAGCGGCATCTACAGGTTTGGAGAAAAAGTCATCAAACCATCTAACCAAAATAAAGGTACGTTTGACGAGACTGATGTTGATTCTCTTAGAACTGAAGGAAAGTCAAAGCGTCAAATGATCACTGTGCTCGTCTGCAGAGCAACACTTTGTGGGGTTGATGTTCAACAGGAGGAAAGACGACCCCTTACAGAACAAAGTCTACGCCTTCTACAAGGCGAGAAACTGTGAAAACCACCCACAGAGTTACACGTGGACTCCGTTTGTCACTCAGGTTTGCATGGTAAGAACCGCATGACTTCCACACATCACATGTCCACAGCTCTAACACTGAGTTATTGTCCTTTAATAACTTACTGTGTGGTTCCCAGGCAGATGTTGGCGGCTCCAAGAGCAAACTGCAGCGGAAATGGACATCCCAGATGAATGCCAAGCTCTTCTGTGGAAACGCAGACACCAAGCAGTCGTTTTCTGAGCTGGTAGATGTGGCCGTTGTACAGGCAGCCAGGTGGCAGGACACCAGAGTTTATGGACTCTTCAGAAACGAATGGTAACAGCTTTCATTAGCCTTTATCAGGATCGAAATGTTAGATATTTAATAGGTCAAAATATTGTTAACAGCTTTACGCTAAATAAATATGTACCAGCTTTTCTCAGTGTCATTTTGTAAACCACACCAAAGGCTATTTGGATGCTGAGTCACGAAAATGTGGTGAAAACCCACAATGAACAACTGTATTGTTTTAGCCCCATGTGATATGAAGGAGTTGTGTGTTTATGAGCCAGTCACCACAAGTAAATTTAGCAGCATTTCCCTGTTGTTATGGAGAAAAGTTCAGGAAGGAGTGTTTACCTCAGCTATTGTTAAATTTAGACAGTCTGACTAAAATAGCAAATATTCTGCGATGCTGATGTTTTTGTGCGAAGCTGCTGACCTCTGTGTCTCTGTGCAGGGGGATGAGTGCCGTATGTGTCTACACAATACAAGATATTGACGACGTCTTCAAAAATTCTAAATTTAAAGGCTCAACCAAGGCTTTTCCATTGGACAGGAAAAGGGAGGTATGTGTCCCTCCACCAACACAACCAACACAACCACCACAACCAACACAACCACCACAACCAACACAACCACCACAACCAACACAACCACCACAACCAACACAACCACCACAACCAACACAACCACCACAACCAACACAACCACCACAACCAACACAACCACCACAACCAACACAACCACCACAACCAACACAACCACCACAACCAACACAACCACCACAACCAACACAACCACCACAACCAACACAACCACCACAACCAACACAACCACCACAACCAACACAACCACCACAACCAACACAACCACCACAACCAACACAACCACCACAACCAACACAACCACCACAACCAACACAACCACCACAACCAACACAACCAACAGGCTTTTATCTTTACAGACTATTTAAATCATGTACAGGTTTGAATATGTGCTTGCAAAGTTAAAAAAAAAAAAACATTCAAATTTGCCAGACTTCCGAAGTATTATTACGACCTACTAAGAGTTTACTGAGCTTTTGTTCCTGGATTATCATGTTACCTGGTAGATCAGGTATCATAATTAACAGGTGCATTCCACAGATGCTCAGTCGTAAGACATGACAAATTTGTTGTCTGGTTGAGAGCAAAGAAAAAGAAAATAGTATCTTATTAAAGGAGTTGTTCTAATCCAGATCTCACAGATGGTCCCAGAGACCCCGAACAACACGCCCTGGGTTGTCTCTGATCAAGGAAAGAAAAACAAGTAGTCGTCCAAAAAAAAAAAAAAAGGATTGAAAAAATAATGAGCTCACTGTGAAAAGCCACCTGTTAGAAGATAATGACAAAAAAGGGAGGTTTTTGTTATGGTTTCCCTGGAAATGTGAGGGAGTGTGAAACCCATCTGACCTTGAATGTTACTCTGACCATGGTGGTGTCAGGTTCATGTCACAGAGGTTCCTCCAGTTCATGAAGAACGAGGTCACCAAAAAATACAGAAGAGTTGTCCAAGAGTTGCATGGTTAAATAGTAGGGATGTCCGATGTTAACCTTTTAGCCGATATTGTCCAAACCCTATATTTCCGACTCCGATATCAACCAATTTTTATCATCATTTTTATCGGAGGAAAAAAACAGTTACAATTCTTACAGAATAATCACAGAACTACGGTCCATCGATGTTATGGAGCATTTCTACTATAAAGTAATGGTTGTTATTTGACTTCACTATTATAAATAACATTTTGATTTTCTTTAGTGTGTTGAAGACAGTACAAAGCTCCCATATGAGACTCTGGACATGATCGAGAGAACCTCAGAAATGGAGCAGTGGGTCCAACCCAGGAACAAGTCAGGCCCGATTCTCATCAACCTCCACCACAACTACACCCACATCCATGTGGACACTTCCCAGCACATGATGAACAGTAACCAGGCAGTTCTGTTTATTACACTGAGTGAGTAAAAAGGTTGTGTTAGATGGGGAAGTCAAAAAATTTCAGAAGTCAGTATGAGGAACTACAGTTTACCAGCGATCATAGATCCTCAGTTCAAATGACATTTCCTGTAAAGAAGCATCCATCTTTAACAGTAAATATTCTAAAAACCCCCCCCCCTCAAAACATGACCGTATGATGTCATTTATCTACTAAGGTCATTAGGGGGCACTGCAGCCAAAACCAGGTACTGAGAGGTGAGGGTGGTGTCCGCCCGACAGTCCATGGCTCCATCACAGGGTCCTGCATACACACACACAGGGAGAAGAATTCAAACTTGTTACAGAAAGACTTTAAACGATTGGCTGCTGTTACTGTTAGCATGAGCGCAATAACCACATCATCCACCGTGTGGTGTGTGTTTCTGCACGATGCAACCGCATGTTCTCAACTGAACTAAAATAGTACTTCTTAAATGTTTTGTCGGTCCTTTGACTGACTTGTCTGTCACAGGCATTTGTCAAAGGGCAAAGTGGTGGCTCAGTGGTTAAGAACGCGGACTACGGTCCGGAAGGTTTCAGTCCACCTACTGCCAAGGTTAGCACTGAGGTGCTCTGAGCATCGCACACACTGCCCCCCCTGCCCCCCCTTCACTTTGGTGATGGGTTAAAAGCAGAAGTCACATTTAGTGGTGTGCAGTGGTGCAGTGTTGTGCTGCAGGTGCTCTGAGCATCGCACACACTGCCTGGTGTGTCACAGTGACTAGTAGTTCACTGTTCTAAACTCACATTCATGTCATGTCATGTCCAATCCACCTAATGTGGACAGACCAGTGAAATCAACATGACTCAAACTGATTAAACAACACATTTTATAACAAAGCCCGAGGTCAGAAAACTGGAATGTAGATTTCACAGATTCTGTATGAAATCACCTCTGATGTGGTAATCTTGTAATCTGGCACACCTTTTGTGCTGGTTAGTACAGTTACAACTTTTGCAATACTGGCTCATGTCCCAGCCTTGACTAACTGCTGGATGTGCTCTGTCTGCTGTTATAGCCTGTTGAGTGAGATTGGATACAAAACATCCTGTTCAACATTGTGTGTTTTTTTTCTTCTAATTTATAGATAATGGAGCCATTCATAAAGTGATACACCGTGAGGGAGAGGTCTTAGTCGGTGCTGAGTACCAGGTCTTTACTAACCATGTCCACATCCTCAGTATCAGCCTGCAAACATCCTGTGTAAGTACCGATACTCATGAAGGAGTGTCGGTCAGAGGTGTTGGTCAGTGACAGGACAACACCTTGGAGAAGATTGCAGAATAAGTAATGAGTTGTGTTTTGTTTTCTTTTTTTCATGTCAATCCAGAGACGGCTCGTCGTGGCTTCTAACAGTGAACTGGTCCATTTAGATGTGGAGAACTGTGGCAAATATGGAGACAGCTGTGATGAGTGTGTCCTGGCCAAAGATCCTTACTGCAGCTGGGACAACAACCACTGTGTCCCTCACACACAGTAAGACCGTCTGTTTCGATGTTACGCGCTGTCGCAAGTCGGGGGGGCGGGGGAGGGGGTGGATAATGTTGTTGTCAGAGGAGAACATAGTGAAATAGTTGAATGTTTAACATGAGGCAGTTGCTTAAGAGAGTGACTTCTGCAGAGCACTTCCTCCTGAGGTTTCAACATTATTTATAGTCTAGTCTGACAAACTTCTCCAGAACAGTTTCACAGTTTAGAACCGGTTCAAATGAATAATACATTAAACAGGCGTGGTGCTTTGGCCCAGAGCTAATGTCACCTGTCATTGGTGTAGAACAGGATCCACCTCCCGGGAAAGATCGAATCCCAGTTAGGGCGGTTGGTATCTTCCAGTTGGCTCACCAGCCGCAGGAAGGTTCAGAGGGGTTGGTACGGTGCGGTGTGATCCGCCGCGATCTGGTAACGGATAAGCAGATAAAAATGGATGGATGTTAAACAGGCCTCTTGTGTTTTGGCAATGTGACATTAGGTGTAAGGTTCAGTCTGTACAGACATATAGACAAACACATTGACTCAAACCTATGGCATAAGAGTGAAAAAAATATCAACGGAGTGAACCTGCTGTAAGGCAGCAGCATTTCCATCTCCCACCGCGTGGTCCTAATGCACTTTCTCACCGCAATATATATATATATTTTTAAATGACAGCCACAGACCTAATGAAACCAACGTATGGCTTTTCTACAGAAGTGTATGCATCACATGGTGGATGTTGTCAGACTGGTAGGTTTTGATATTTCCAGCACCGTCTGCTTATTTCCTGCTTTACAACTTGTAGGGTTTTAAAAAGGGAAGGGTGAAGTATCACATGAAAGTTGACAAAACACTTGAGTAAAGTCCACCGGGTTTTTTGTTTTCATCACAGTTTCAATGTGAAACTCGTATAAAAGAAATGTATTATCAGCACAGTGAGTAAAGACAGTAAACATAATGAGGATATAAAAAAATCACCTGATGTCACGCTCTTAGCAAATTACAGTCCCATGACAAAGTGACTGACAGAAGCGGGACTGCTTGTTTATGGGAGGACGATTGTTTTTGGTTCTTTTTTCACGTGGATTTGTTTTCAAATTAAAGGTGGGGTACGCTGTTTTTTTGGTGTATTCTGTTCTTATCAACATGTTGCTACACTTTCTCACATTTATGTGACATTTTTATTTTAGTCTGTGTAGGTTCTCAGTCACCCAGGTCATTTAATCCAAAAAAAAAGTTGCTATTCTTAGTTTAACTATTTTTAACTACACCCTCTGACACGGAAAAAGCGATGCATCTAAAAATGTATCCCCACATCGTTGTGGGTTTTTTTAAAAATAGATGTCATACGCCTTCACGCTTCCTTAACTTTCACTGGTTGGTTTCTTTTCACCCCACTCATTCCCCACTCCTTTACCATAAACTATTACACATACATGAGTAATATATAACTCCAAACGAAGCCCCCTGAACTTCAAAATACCACGTCTGAAAAACACAGCCCCCCCCCCCCCCCCCCCCCACTGTTTCTTTATGTCATGACTTAATGACTGTGAGTTGGTTTTCTTGTTGTTTTTTTAAAAAGTCAAGTAAACTGAATTTATATAATTTCTATAATCACTGACAGGGATCTCTAACTAAAACCTGTTTTTTTTTTATTTTCTTATTTCCTTAACAGTGAAGACGTGCAGAATGGAACCGCCGTGGACTTTGACATTTGTCCTCTTACGGTCAAAACAGGTAAAAGACCATCAGTCAACAAGACCTTTTGTTATTAGTGTTTGTCTTGGGAAACTGAAAGGCTGACGACGTGTAGTATTTTACTATACAGCTTGTCCCTTTTTCAGGGGTTGCCACAGCCAATCATTGATTTTCATACTGCATCTTCTCCTCTGACTCTCCGAGCTGGTAGCTCCATCTCTAACATCTCAGTCTGACTTCTCGGGCTTTTCCCCCAAACCGTTCTCTATGTATTTTACAATACATATAATATATAATTATAATAATTATCATTTTAAATTATAAAAATATGAATGTGTTACGGGGCCCAGTCCTAATTTAAATCTTTAAATTTAAAAACATTGACACACTGACCGTGGATTTGTTTTTGTTATCATCGGTTCAATTTTCATCAGGAATAAAAACAAAAAAACAAAAAAAAAACATTTGACTTTCCATGTAGCCTGTATCTAAAACATGTTTAGAGACAGGATTAGAGTTTTTATACAGTATTACACCAAGGCTGATGGTAGGAAATAAGTGTAGGAGTGCAGCACAGCATGTGACTGTAGACAAGTAGCCTGGATATATTTACCTAACAGATACCACATTTAAATGTTCATGAGACGACAGCTCACAGTCCTGTGTCAACTACGTCTTCATGCAGTGTGACTGTGTCAGTTCACACCTACGTTTTCATACTTCTCTATACTGGAATTTAAAGTGAAACCTAAAGTTGTGTGTGTGTGGGTGGGTGTGTGTGGGTGTGGGTGTGTGTGTGTGTGTGGGTGTGTGTGTGTGTGTGGGGTGTGACATTTCCTGAACAGTTGATTTGGTTCGTTGGTAGCTGTTGGTAGGATGTAGGAAAATACAGTGTGGAAATAATAATAAAAAAAAGAGTCCTTTTACTCACGGCCGACAGGATGAGTAGCCAAACTTCAAGGTCTTGGCGGTTGTTGCGATTTTTATTTCTCTTTCTGACGAAAGGTCTGAAGGTATGAACCACAGATACCAATGTATCTACATTCCAATCACCTGGATCTTGTCAGGGGTAGTTGTTCTGAAAAAGGACATAGTAAGGTCAGATTCTGTTGCCTTTACCTTTAAATGGTAATGAGCCATTGGTTGCTCCGCCTTCCTGACCTGAGAAGAAGAAAATCTAGAACCAGGCTTTGACGTTTAGCAATGATGACTTTGTTTTTGTTTGTTTTTTTCCAACAAAGGTAAAGATGACATTGTACAGAGGGTCACTCTCCCTTACGGCTCCAGGTATTTCCTCCAGTGTCCGGTGACGTCCCGTCACGCCGTGTACCGCTGGAATCACCTGAACAAGAATACCAACTGCAGCGTTCAGGACCAGAGCTGCTTCCTTCACATCGACCACGTCGGACCAAAAGATGCGGGAACTTACACGTGTGAGTCCGAAGAGTTAGGCTACGTTAAAGTCAGGGCAAAGTACGACCTGTGGCTGGAGAGCAGAGCGGGGACTCATCGGTCAGGCTGGCTGCCGTGGGTTGGTGTGGTGGTTCTGCTGGTGAAGAGTTTATTCTGTTAGTGTTGACACAGAAGTGCAGACTAACAGGACGTTTTAGTTCAGACATATTACATGTGCTGTGCTTGAATACCATAACACAAGGCGGGTATTGTAAGGAAATGATAATCTTCTGTCTTCAAAGCACCTTAAATTAAACTCACGTAAATTATGGTAGCTTAGCGTAAAGTCATATAGTCTGTATATGGTCTATAGTCTGTATCTATATGTGTATAAATATAGATACAGACTATAGACCATATATACACCTGTGTATATACTGTACATGTAAACAATTCAACAGTCTGGATTCAAAACCAAAGACATCTCGATGTCATCTCATAATCTATTTTCAACTAAATGGGATCACGTTGACGTGACGTTTCTTCCACAAGTTGACATTTTTCTACAGGTAACATTTGTGCTCATCACATAAAAACAGCCTTTGTTCTGCAAAAAAAGAATGTAAAATTGTATAAAATACTTGTCAATGATTCTATATCACATATATATATATATATTTTTTTTAATATATATACAGTATCTGTACTTTTAGCTTGCAGTTATTGTTATGTTTGCATTTAGTTTTCCCGTTAATGTGAAACCGGGGAAATAAAAAGCTACCTCTGCTCTGGTGTTGACACAGAGCCACTGTGTTTGTCCACAGTGATTGTGCAGAACGTCCTTTTCACCTCTGCTAAGTGTGAAAACTAGAAGAAGCCGATGCACTTTGCACTTCTTGCACACGTTTCATTTTCAACTTTTGTCAACTTACTCTGGCCTCAGAATCCGATCAGTTGTTTTGACCTCTTTTACATGATAACTTTTTTCCCACCTTCTTCATAATTGATCCAAAAGAAATCAAGAAAATCTTCCAACTCCATCCTTGATAAAAATGATTGACTTCTATCTTCAAATAATACAGAAGAGGCCAGCAGGAGCTGAAATCGTTTGTGAAAATAATTGTGAAAATAAAACATTTTTTTTTTATCAGTTGTTATTGTGTGGGTTAGGGCAGGGGGACAGGGTCTGGAGGGGG